GTTTAACCTACGGTGTGTTGGACATCTAATTATGTCTGTACCACAGAGTTAAAGAACACCAGCTGTATTATAAATTCCTTGATGTGTACCAACCTATCCTGTGCATTTGCTGCAGGCACAGAAAAAAATTAGTACAGGTTTTATGGTGATTTTTCTGACGTGTTGCTATACACTGCAAAAACTGTCCATCTTACCAAGTTTTAAAATCTTATATCCAGCCAAAAAGTCTTTCTGATTTTGTTTTGAGATTTACTAAACAAGAACTGATTGTGTAAGAATAATAATCTTGTTTTCAGAATGTGTAAGATTATTTGTCATGTTAATCTGAAAATTTGACTCAAATTAAGTCAAAAATTTTTGCCAATGGAGTAAGAAAATTTTTACTTGGTAAGATTCTTGAAATAAGAAAAAAATTGAGTCAAATCAAGTATTTCAAGAATGTTACCAAGTCAAATTTTCTTACACCATTGGCAGATTTTTTTTTGACTTAATTTGAGTCAAATTTTCAGATTAACAAGACAAATAATCTTACACATTCTGAAAACAAGATTATTATTCTTACACAATCAGTTCTTGTTTAGTAAATCAGTCTCCAAACAAGATCAAAAAGACTTTTTGGCTGATATATGTTTTCAAAACTTGGTAAGATGGACATTTTTTTGCACATGTATAAAGACAACCAAAGTGACAGAAACACTTCCCTCTTTGCTTTTTATACAGAAGGTTTGATAAAAGATTAAAATGCACGTTAAAGATGAAGTCATGAGCCTCGCAGCTGGTTCAGAATTCCTGCCAGGGTTTTTTCCTTCCTACCTGTGCGTCCTCATAGCTGTACCGACCGGGGTCCTTCAGGTTCTGGCTGGTCCGTTCGTAGCTGTGGGAGTCCAGGTTGATGGTGCTGGGTGCTCCCTCTGCCAGGAACTCGGCCCAGATTTCCTCCACCCTGTGTGCCACTTCCTGCTGGGGAACCCGCTTCAGCTCCTGCACCTCCAGCCAGAACCTGCAGCGTTATCAGACCCAAAGTGGATCAGTGAATTGAGCGCTGCTCCTGAATTTAGCCTAAAATCTGCTGATTCTGCTCCCCTGCTGAACAGACATTTAAATTAAACTCATGGCCATAAAGGCCACATTTCACCAACATGACATTAATTTAAAGAAAATCCTCATCTGTGACACTGGACTGTTTTTGTGGGTGGGGGTGTATTAGGCAATGTTTGTTTTGATTTATTCATGAATATTGGAGAAATCCTTGAATCTCCTGCTTAAACACTTCCTGTTATAAAGCTCCGCCTATTTACACAAAGCTCCTCCCTGGAGCTCAGTCTGCAGCAGAGCTCCTGCCTCACAGGGCACCGCTCCATCAAAGCATTGTTGTGAAGACCTGCTGAAAGTGGGAGTGTCAGAAATGGTAGGAGGCTCTTAAAGAGACAGAGACCAATTTCTTGACATTTACACAGGCTAGGATGCAAAATCAGATTTATGTTTGATAAATGCAGCATTTTCATAACAACTGATTGTAACATAGTGACTTGATTGTGGTATAGAATTTAACTAAATGCATAATATCCCCACCACCAACACCCCCTTTAAAATGTAAGGCATAAAAAGCTGCTGTGTGACAACTTCTCATTTTAATTTTAATCTATACTGATCTGTCGACTGTATATATA